TGGGCTCCCTCTGGTCTCGCGCGACGTTCGCAGGTAACGTTATTACGGCTCCTCGTCTGGCGACGCTCTCCGTCGATCGATGAAAAGACGCTTCGTCTGGGCTGCTCGAAAATACGGGAGAGAGCCACCGCCACAGGGGGGTTATATAGCCGACCAATGAGACGGGCGAGTCGCGCTCGGGGGATACTCGTCGACGTCGTAAAGCCCGGTATTTGGATTCGTGCGCTTACGTAGCGCGCTAGAACGGAAAAGAGGAGGATCAATTTTTATTTCGAGGGCCGGGGTTAATAAGGGATGCGTACATAAATTGGGATTATGTCGGCCCTCAAAGAGAACCGCTCTCGAGTACCTGCCGACGTATTGATCTCCGAATACACCTCGGGCTCTTAAATGTGATCCCTCGAACTCACCGCGAACGTGTAATTTTTTCGTCGTACACGCGACTCTCGAATTTGCCGGTTTGCGCTTATTGGTTTACCTTGGGACCGTCGTTCTGTTGCGTTGCTCGAGGCGATTACGAGTGGTCACGTTGAATGAACATGGATTTTATTGCGCTGTGTGTACAACGTGTGAATTAGCGATCGTTGCTTTAACTTCGTCTATTGATATACATCCGCCGTGTAAATTCAGCCAAAGGATAAAAATCCGTATTAATAGTCGTTACTTGAAACTTCTCTCACGCGAGACACTCAGATTTTAATTAATGTGCGTATTAATAGTTGTCATTTGTAGTTTGTCTCATGTGAGACAGTCAAGCTTGTATTCAGAGTTTAATCCAAATTTTTCGGTTGAATTATATAAGTGACTTTTATATCTCTGTCGCGCGCGACTCAACTGAGACTCATTTAACTCTAAATCTAGGTCTCTCATTTGAGACAAATTTCAAGTAATGTCTATTAACACAGGACTAAATCTGGATTCAAATAATATAAATAAATCTGGATAAATAATTCAAATCTGTCTTATTAAGTTTCAAGTTTCAAACTTCAAGTAAAGACTTTTTCAGTAGTGATTTAAAATGACTGCATGATTTCCCGGAGGTGGATTTTTATTAAGCGTATCTAGATTTCTATTGCTATTTTCTTTGAAGAATCTTGAAAAATCTAATACAAAATATTTCTAATTCTAATATTTCCATTTGCATTTACTGTGAGTGAGTTAAAAAATTATAGTTCGACTGAATCAAGAAAAATATTTTATCACGAAATTCCCTCGAACATACCACTTAAGAGACTGATATAAACCAAAGTGACACGAAAGAATGTAAGAAAGAAATGTGAGGTAACACAACTGAGTAATCTGCCATAGGTGATTCGAAAAATATATCTAATGTATAATATTTCGAAAAGGCAGGTTTTCTACGCGTTACTCCGTTTGGTCAAAATAAGGTCAGTGCACAAGTAAAGTATATTCATGAATTACTTTAAGCTAGCGTAAGATATTACCTTCTTGAACGGAGTGCCTCAGGAAATTAACACTCGTACAAAGCGAGAAGAATATTCAGATATATATGTATTCACACACATATACACACATACATACATACGCATTTACGCATTTTGTTAGAAGTACGCGTTCCGGACTACGAATTCTTCGGTGAGTTTGGGGTCGAGTTTTCTTCGGCGAAAATTTAATTGGATTCCATCCTCCTTTTCGCACTTCTTTACATTTTAACATTAAATCTTGTAGTAATGAAATCTTCAGTTAAAATTCCATCCGAAAGTAAAGTCCGTTGAAATTTTTATCTCGGGAATATAAAACGGCATTATGTTTCAAGTGATATTCTTCTCTGTTTCGAGGAGGAATTCAGCTTATCTGCTCGAAATAGTTCGATTCTATCAAGTAATTCCAACGCGAAGATGATATCGGTTTGCTACAACTTCTGTGTTGAGACGAAATAAAATACTGGAAATTCCGTAAAATTTGATAAATATGCGAGTTTCTTGAAGCTATTTAAACCTCTGGCCATGATATATTTGTAGAAATGCACTTTGCCGACGACGCTGTTTGTAAGTAACAGGAAATGTAGTAATTTTCATAAATCGGGGTGCAAATTGCTAACAAAACGTTATTCTGCATTTAGTTTTACGCGCGACGCGCTTTAACGGAATTTGAAGTAAATTAACAAAGTTGAGAATACGCAAAAGAGAAAGACGGGGGAGAGGGAAGAAGAGAAAGAAAGAGAGAAAGGGGCGAAAGAGTGTAGTGTCTGAATTTCCGCCAGAAGAGGATTGTCCCCGCGTAAGGGAGAATCTCGCTGATAGAGACGAAAACGGTGGTTTCAGGACATCGTGTATCCCGGAGATACGAAAAGGGCTGAATCTGTTTGAACTCGAAACGCGTTACGCAAACACGCACGACAACTTTTGGTTGTCACGGAGGAGTTTGACATTTCTCCCCGGGGTAGAAAATTAGCGTCGTACAAATGGCAACGCGCTTTGTGACGCGCGAGCTAGACGAGCTAAACGAAGCGAGCGCAACGGCAGAGATTCCACGCGCGGCGGACTACGCCATAAGAATGGAATTCAACTGGAAGCCTCCCCGCAAGCTGCTCCCTAATTATTAATTACACCTAGCGTCGTATATCAGCGTCCTTTATGACAAGTTGGCGCGAAACTTTGAGTCGCATCCGGCGCCTAATTAAACTGGTTCAATAAAATTACACCGGCCTGTCTTCATGTAACGCGCCATCGCCCCCGCCCCGCTCAAATTTCGCGCGCGCTTTCGCAGTCCATCGTGATACAACTATTCGGAACTTTCTCTGTGTGCGACTGATTATTTGTCCAAACTGTCCCTTCGTGCTCCGGCAGTGTCTTCTTGCAGGAAATATATTCAAACGTGGAGTGATCTTGGATTTCCTGATCTTAGTTTCATTAGTACATTCTTGCAACGTTGCTGTCACTTGGGTGAAATTTTAAACAAAACCGTCGCTCACGAAAACTTCCTGTCAAGATTCAACATTAGCGCCATCGTGGCGACTAAAATCCAAATAAAGATTTTAAAACTGTAAAGTTCACATGAATTAAGGGTACGAACTTTGATTTTGATTTAATCATATATACTTCGTCGCTTTTCATACGGAGAAGAATGTTTAGTTAGCATGACAAAGAAACAGTTGAATGTATTTTTGTTGAAAGAAATAGAATTTCTTTCCGTGAACAAAATTCGATTCTTAAGAACCAGAAATTCTGTTTCCTTGACTCAAAAAGCGTTGAATTGTGTTGTTATATCAATTCAACGAATCTCTTTTATTTATGTATGAGAGGTCTTTCGTTTTCAACTACACATAATTCAAACATTGAGAATTATAAAATTCATGTAAATTGAGAGTAAGAATTTTGATTTTTTATTAAAAAGACAAGATTTGGATTTAAGCAGATAAACTTTTTATTTAATTATATACCTCGCTGCTTGATGTGTATAGAGAAGAAAGATTGTTTTACGTTTTTGTTGAAGGATATGTTTTTGTTGTTCTGCTTTTGTGAAATTCAGTCCTTAAGAACTAAAAATTCTGTATCCTCCAATCAGTTGTCACATTAATCAACCAATATTTTCTACCTGTATATAAGAAGTCTTTCACTTTCACCATAATCCGGAAATTAATATTAATTAATATAAATTAATATATTTCACCATTTTGATTGAGGGTAGGTCGCTCATAATCCGACGAAAAAGTCTCATTAGACTCGAGGCTGGCAGCAAGGACTCTTGCATTAATATAAGAATTTTATGAAATTTTTGAAAGGATTTTATGAAAAGATTATTTATGATACGCGTACGCCCCGTGCGAGACGCCGCGGTGTTTCTCGATCGCCGGGACTGTCGCGAATTTTTAGCTTACGCGAAATATCCATTGCTGAATTATTTGTCCGCGCGTCACACGTCAACGTCAGTCCGGCCGTAATTAATCGAGCCCAGCCATTGAGGTTAATGCACGTGCGCAAGTGAGAGGCCCGGCGATATGATTAAACGAATTGGCAATCGAGAGATCATTCAACGGTTCCAGTAGGCGCGGCAGGACGGGAATGACAGTAGAGAGCGTTGATTAACGAACTGATTGCAGCTAACGTAATTAATTATTACCCGCGCGTCGCTCGAGATTCCACGCGCGACCGCGATCGAACGCGGAGTATCGATGGGTTGCAGTGAGCGGCGCGTCGCTTAATTCCTGAAAAAAAGAATTTATTTGCTCAGCCCGATTCGAAATTCGCGTCGCGCTCCGCGGCGGAAATCTTGTCACTCGGATAGTTGTGTGCGACGAATGATGGATAGCTGAACAGATAGATGGACAAACTTCGCCGGGCCCAAATCGGCGGACTCTTGTTAATCTCGCAAGGGGAGGATCGACTCCGTAACTCGCAGATTGGCTCAAGTTCTGCGTGCGCACGAAGTGCCGCCAGCAGACTGCAGTCACATCTGCATTCGGGAGAGCGGATAAGCTAATTTCTCTTTTTCTTTTTTTTTTATCACTGCTTTACTTTCGTCGTGTAATCCCGTTCCGCAATTTTCGTTTAACGGCCAGTGAACGTTGCATACAATTGTTATTACGTTCACGGTGGAAGGAGGGAATTATCGTATTTTAAGAGATTGCGCCTCGCGCAAACGTGTTTACGTGCATAACACGGCGGAAGATGCGTAATCGCCTAGAATTTTCCTCGTTCAAATGCGTCACCGAAATGTCCTGAATAACAAAACATCGCTAGAATCGAAATAAACAATTTAGTTGGTTATGTTTATCGCGGAAAAACGTATCTCAGAGTTAATTATCGGAGAATTGCAGCAACAATATGATTACTGTTTCAAATTTATGGCGCGGAAAATATGAATGAGATGGCATAATATTTATGAAACACGGCCCGCGCTTGAACGGGAAAAAGTGAGGTATCGATTGTGTCATTTAGTTATACCGTCTGCTTCAACGTTTCATAATTTTGCGGCGAGTCTGCGCGCACGTGCTTCACACACGCACACGACTTACTTTTGCATGTTTGATGTTGCAGGCTCTCATTAATGCGAACAGGTACGACGACAAGCATCTGATGAGTAACGAAGTGATGGACAAGACCCAGTCGCCGTTGAAAGCGATGTACAACGTGCAATTGCCGTCCAGAAATACGGATTGCCCGTCGTCGTCCAAGCCTGCGATGGCCAATCGTCTGTTGGATTGGTTCTCTGTCGTGATGGCAGACTCCAAGCACCGCCGTCAGCATCCCAAGCCCAAAGGTGGGAAGAGAACCTGTAGCACAAATTTCAATACGTATACATGTATATTTCCGACACAGCAGTACGGCCATTTGCAAAGCAAAATGACGGTCGATATATGCGGGTTTCCACAAACAAATCCTCGAACTATCGTAACTCACTTCAGCCGGCGATCTGTTTAATTAATGCTTTGGTCGAGCAAAGGGCTAGAGAGTTCGCGTGAATTAACATTTTTATTTGGTTTTAAAGAGATAAGATTGAATCATATACCTCGCTGCTTGATGTACACGGAGAAAAAAGATTGGTTGAGTAAACATGACAAAGAAACAACTGAACGCGTTTTTGTCAACAGTTTTGGGAAACAGAATCTCTAGTTTTTTATTTTGGTTAACCAAATTTGGTCTCTAAGAGCTAGAAAAATTCTATTTTCTTCTATCAAGAAGCATGTAATTGTATCATTGTCACGCCAATTCAACGAATCCTTTTTTTCTGTGTACCAGAGGTCTTCTGTTTTCGCTCATAGTCCAAAAATGAAGCTTTAAGATGTCTGTTGTTGATTGTCTAATTTCTAATGTTAAATCTCTTTTAATGTTGAACTGCTGAACTGAAGCACGCAATAAAAAAATTATTTTTGTTGGAACTAAAATACTAAAATAGATTTCGTTGACATTACCATTTTGTTTTACTTGTGTCAAATAGAATATATTGTGAAGATGCAAAACGCACAAGTGGCAATTAAATTTCTTTGTTGTGATTACCGAACATTTGACTGATTCCATTTCAAGTAAATTCTGTTTCGTTGTACTAAATTTTCATTTCGACAACAAAATCCTTCTTTCAGTGTAATCAAGCAGCAAGTGATTCCCTCTGTTTCGCCATCCATGTGAAATTGACTGAGAAGCGAGCTTTTGTTGCTCGCGCTGCGCTCTCCGGAGATTCGTCTCGCCGAAAGTGTTTCTTTTCTTTTTTTTTTTTTTCAAATTTCCGTCGCTGATTAAAATGTCGAACGTCGAGTTTTCCGCCGCGGCGAAACTCGATGTGGAGCATTTTCCGTACATATGTACGGCCAAAAGTCGCGTTAAGCAGCCGGCGACGCGCATAACCGCGGAATGTGCTCGGGGCGTATTGAAACGTTCCCATGGGACGTCTCGTAGGTCCTCGCGTACAAGAGAGACTAATTGTCCTCGGAGAAGGGGATGGACATTGCGACGTACGATCTACCCGGTAGTTTCGAAGTACCGACAGTGCACGCCATTCGACTTCGAGACAATCAGTTTCGTACCAGTTCGAAATTGTCCCCGCACAATGAATCGTTTCCCGCCCTAGGTACGTCGCGATTACTTTGGGCACTGTCTGTCGATATTGTCCTCACGGTACCGCTCCTGTGTTGATCTTACGGTATTACGTTGCCCGAGGCGAAACAAAGTGCAGTATGCGCATAGCTCTATACCGGACGATTCCATTTGAATCGAGAGGAGAAGAGAGAGAGAGAGGAGAAGGGGGAGGATGGTTTCGCTAAACACGCCTGGCTCACAGCAAGAAAATAGTCCAGGGGGTTGTAACAATTAAAGGATTCCATTCAAGGGCAGGATTTGCCGAATAAATTGTTATTTTACGGGGTTTGCGTGCTGCGTTAACGGTAACGGCACTTGCACAGCATGAACATTTTTCTAATGACGCTTCTACCATGGAATTGTCGACTACGAGAATATGTAGTCCTTGTGGTTTTTTAACGCTGGCGCTATCGATAATTAATTACCTATTTCTGCATTGAGAGAAAAAAATATCGGAAAAGAAAGGAAATCTTTATTCGGTACGGGTACTATGCATTTTTGGTTGCATTAACCAAATTTCTAGTAAAATATGAACGAGCCAGAAAATTTTGGTTGGAGTCACCAGAATTCTGTTCAAGTTGGTCAGAAATCTTGTCACCTCGAATAGAATTCCAGTAACTTCAGCTGGAATTTCTGGTCCATATTTCATCAGAAATTTCGTTAATTAAACCAAACATTTTTTTCCGTGTAATAGCATGTTTATTTAAATCTAAATTTTTTTCTTCAAATCGAGTTAATTTTATAAGAAACTAAGGTTTCATGAAAATTTATATTTTCTTGTACGGGAGAAATTTGTTCTCAATGTAAAAGCATGCATAAGTAAATACGTTATTGGTACCTATCGAATAAGTATTTCTTGTCAGTATGTCAAAGCTGTCAAAACGACAGGTTTTTGGCAGAAATGCAGAAGAAAGAATGTTTATTTGCACTTTTTATTCTAATAAACAAAAATTTGTAATTTGTTTACTAATACATTTTTTCCATTGTGCTTTTCATTGTTATTAAATACAGTTGTAATCCTGTAGATTAAGTAATCGCGTGTTATACATATCTTAACACATTCATCGCATGACTGTCGCCGGGGTGATCGACGAGGTGTAAACGAGAAACTTAGCGCCGGCCATCGCAATGAATGTGTGCAAAATATACAATGCACCGTTCCAAGTGTGAGGAATTTTTATGAGGAGTCACAGGAACGATTTATATCGCACAAAACATTTTAACTCCCTTGGTAGGTCTGGTGTTGACGAGATGTTAAATCGAAAGGCACTCGAACGGGGTGCAATCGTTGCAGTTGAAAGCTCGATGTTTTACAGCGTGTTCTATTGCGCGCGTTTGCGTATCCCGATAATGCGATTTCTTGTTTCGCTTATCGCGCTATATCGATTTGCACGACCCCGCGAGACTAGACTCTCGTCGGCTTGTACGTGCGCGCTTATTGATCCTCTTTCGCATTAGCTGTAGGCGGTTAACGGCACTTACGATAAAGAAGAATACTGCATTTCAGGTCACTTCCCGATCAGTTGTCAGAGCGAGGTCAGGTGGATGTTCGGACATTTGGACAGCGACAGCGACGGCCGGCTCTCGCTCTCCGAGCTGTACGGTCTGGAACACGATCAGAATGAGCCGTGCTTGAAGCCCTTCCTAGACGCCTGCGACACTGACAGGTAAGGGAGGAGGAGAGAAAGAGGAAGAGAAAGAGCGTCGTTCCTGTGTGAATTCCTGTGTATGCGCGAGGAACAAGAGACAGTGTGACATTTTACGATCATCGCAGTTAACGTTTTACGTTGCTCGCCGCTCAGAGTGCATGCTCTGCGCACTGAGAACTTGAGATAAGTTCGATCGATAGATTCAGACTACGTACGCACGTAGGTACGCCCTTGCAAAGACGATAACACCCGCCGTCTGACGTGTAACGCATATGGAAATTGAATGCGCAGATGTTAACTTAGAAATGTCAACGATGAAGAATGTGCCGGCGCGGAGGGATGTATCGCGCCGGATACGATCTGGTCTGACTAGACGCGTGATGTTACTACTGCCGCCTCTCCGAACGCGTGCCCCGTGTGACTGCTGATATGTAAAAACCGTCCTTTTCTCGGGCTCCTACGCCATAAATCTTTCGCCACTCGCGTTGTCGTGTATCTTTACAAGTTTAATATATCTTATATTATATAATCTTATATTATTTTATATAATTTCTATTATTTTTTTCTATATTTTTATTATATTTCTATTATATTACATTATATTATATTTACACATTACATTTATATTATATAATTTTTATTATTTCTTTCTACTTAATATATTTCATATTATTTCTATTACATTTTTACTTAAAGGATTGTTTTATATTTCTCTCATTTTTAGTATTTCTCTATTTCATGTATTTTATATTATTTCATATCGGATTTCTCGCAGATTTGCGTATATTATTGTACATCACCATCATCGCCATCATTGATACGATATCGACGCTGTTAATAGTATTATGTTTGGTGTTACGGTATTAAGTTCGGTGCGATGGTAAATTGAGTACCTCGGCGACGTTATTGTAACGACATGCATGTAATCCTTGAAAGTGGTAAGTTTCTGATGCATAACGCACTGTATTTTCAGCGATATTTTCGTGAGCGGGCCCGAATGGTGCGGTTGCTTCTCGAAAGCCGAACGTCCGTGCGCCGCTGTGCGCAGACGATCATCGTCGGATTCAGCACCCGCCTGCGATTCGCGAGGATATTACCGCAGCACCCAGTGCCACCGTGGCCTTGGCCTCTGCTGGTGCGTCGATCCGCATGGCGTCGAGTTCGCTGGCACCAGAACGCGTGGCACCAAGCCCGATTGCGGTATGTACTTGTGTAATAAATACGGAAAAAATGTATCGAAATTCGATTAAACGCGTCTGGCGCATCGAGAAGACAACAAAGAAGCGGCAATAAAGTGTTTCAATTAAATCCTGGATTTGTTTCTGTATAAAAGATTTTTATTGTTCAATGACAAAAATAAAAGTATCTCTGGCGAACGGAGCTTAATATTCTATCTGTCGAAATTTTTAAGTCTCAAATTTTCTGAGTCAAGTGTAGTTCTTCAAGTCAAGATTATATATTATGGTTTATATAATATACAAAATGTCTGACTCTAAGATTATATATTATGGTTTATATAATATACAAAATGTCTGACTCTAAGACCCGTATTTAATAGTTATTACTTGAAATTCATTTCAAGTGAAGAACTCAGATTTAAACTTAGCGTGAGAGTTTTTCAGTTAAATCACGCAATTGCAGATATAAATGTTACATATATCAGAATTCAATTGAAAAACTTGGATTTAACTTTGAATAAAAATCTGAGTGTCTCACACATGAGTTAAGTTTCAGGTGACAACTATTAACACGGAATTAAGTGTCCCATATTTCATGTGTACGTATAGATTATATCAAACTGAACAAAAAAGTCTCTCCTACTATCTTGTTAATAACCACCGTAAGTTTGTAGTTAAAGAACATTGATGGATTATCGCGTGCGATCGTCCGCTATTGTTCTGTAATTAATAACTAAAAAATCTACGTGGTTATTAGCAAGATGGTAGAGGATCTTTTTGTTCAGTTTAGTGATCTAATCTATAAACAAATATGACGGCAGACGTCGCTATCACAACTTATCTGCCATATCACGCATCGTGATCATATTCAGCAATCTTCTATAATTAATAACTCAAAATTTTACATGGTTGTTTGTAGTAGAAAAATTTTATCTCCAATTTGACCTAATCTAATCATGTACACGAAATATGGGACACTTTGCGTGCCAGACATCTTGTGTATAATTTATATAATAATAAAGTTTATGTAAATAAAGAGATTATATGGTTCTTTTTGATAAAGAATCAAGTAAAGAGGAGTAAGAACCAACACGCAGATATAATAGCGTGATGTAACTAACTAAAACATAAATTATTAGTGCTGTCCTGACAGATATACAGAGGAAATATTAATTTTTTTCTCAATAGAATATGAACCCAACGTTGAAAACTTGGAACTTGAAAATAATATAAATAAAACCGGAGTCAAGAAATCGGTCACAGTTCGAAAACTATTCGTGTTTCCACACTTTTTCTTTTTTTTCTAATCAATGATTACCTTGCAGATACAATCGTGAACAAAATCAGCAGTGGCGGCCTCAAGACCAACAGCGTGGACCTCGATGACGACGAGGACGGTGGCACCGATTCCGCTCAGGACCTCGAAGGCTCGGCCGATCAACCATTAGATTTTTAGATGTATTAGGGACGGCGGCCAGCAACGGGAATACAGCACTTCAACCGACATAAGCGATACCGTCTATGCGATCGGAAGGCAGCATTCTTTTCTCGCGAGAGGGCATGCGCCGCGTCCGATCGTCCACCGATTCTGGGTGTACCGCCGTAGTGATCGTGGGTGTTCCATGTCGCCAAGCCGCCTGTCGATCGTCTTATCGAGGCCGCGATCCACGTGCGATAAAACGAAACGTGTGAGCCTAAGCGATGAGTTCCGAGAGCAACGAAAAGCACGACGATTATTAGTTAATGGATTAGTCTGGCCCGAGACAGAGTTAAGGGACAGATGATCGGACAGAAAGAGAAAAGAGAGATCATCGTCGCGTTGTCGTACGATCTTAGTCCTTCGTCCCAATTAGGAAGCTCTAATCGACGTTAAAGTAGCGAGTGTCTTGCCTGTCGTGCAATAATAAACCGCGTGTCCGACTAACGACGTTCGCCGCCACCGAATGCCATAGATACCGTGCAATCGTAATTCCGCGCAATATTCCGATAGACCGTGTAGGGAATACGCAAATACGACCGAAAGTGCGTGTGAGGGTTGCCGGCGACTAAACAAACGTGAGAGGGAGAGAGAGGTAATGAGAGGGAGGGAGAGAGGGAATTTCGCATTTACGAGCCACGTTGAATACCGACCGGCGGATTACCTCCGCACCTACCGAGGCACCTCCGTGCACAACTCGTCTATAAATACCATAATTACGAACTATTTACGCGTATACAAAATAGAGAGATCCGCGAAACTGTGGGAGACAGAGCTGACTGGGGGGAAACGGAGGGAGAAGGACACGTAACAGTACGCGGGATAATTTCGTCGCATCGGCCAGAACTCACGTACCACGCGTACTGACACAAAATTAACATTTAACGAGGAAACATGAGTGGAGCGCCCTGTGTGTATGATTTCTAATCGCTAGATTAACTCGATATCGATCGTAACGTCACTGGACATGATAATTATGACAGTTATGATTTACGTGATACAATGCAGTAACCATGCGGAATCGAGTTAATCGTGGGAGAGAGGGGGAAAGAGAGAAAGAAAGAAAGTAAGAGAGAACGTGAGTACATTGACGGAGTAAAAATGCGAGCGTAAGCGTCTTCATTCTACCATCGCGCTTGCACCTGCTGAAAACTTAGTTGATCCATGAAGCGAAATAGATTCCCGTAGCTCTTGCCACTTCACTTTCGGCTGTGTTTCGCCGAACGCGGTAATAGAAAATCTCGCTTATTTATTACGTTCTTTCGGGCAAGCTCGCGGAGCGCACTTTTAAGTTATTCTTCTTTCTCTCGTAGCCACCTTGCGTTATGATGAAATTAGTGTAAGATTACATGAAATAAAAAGAACGACCTATTTCATACTCGCTAACGACCTATTTCATACTACACCGCAGTTCAATCACGACCGTGTTAGGATGTCGAGGGTTGGTTATTGAGAGGTCGCTCATTTAGAAGTAAACGGGAAAACGGTGTGTTATTGTCATTCTGTATTATATATCGCGCGGCTCGATTCGCAGAGAGATATGCAAGCATCACGATTTTTCGCACGCGCAATCGGGAGAACATCTATCACGCGACACTGAGAGAAAGGACGAGAAAGAGAGAGAGAGAGAGAAAGAGAGAGATTGTTTTCTACGAAGCTAGAAAATGTTTGACGTCGTGATTCGTCTGCATTTACTGTAATTATAAGCATTTTTACTTACAACTTTTACTTAAAGAGTGTGTGGTACACCGTAGATATTAGAGTAACATGTAATCCGTAGAAAGAAAAAAAAGATCAGTGTGACTATGTGAATATGCCCCTAGAGTTAGAAGGCAATTTACGTAGAGATAGCCGATGCAAATTACACGTGTCTCATTTAGAATGATGAAAGTGACGATTCATTTCGCGAGCCTAACGCGTTTCACTTCGCGCGACATGCATTCCTTCTGCGAGATATTCAGGGAAAATAATACTCATCATATATGGATCAAAGGCAAAATAGTATGTATTGAAATATTTGATTAAGATATCATGGAGAACATGCAACGTCTGTTGATTATATTATTTTTCCTATCGATATACGCTTCATTTCGTTGACTCACATACTACATGATAACACTTATCATTTCAACTATCTATTTTTATAAGCGAGAAATTGCACCCCCCCCCTCCCATTTTATCTTTTGTTATTCGTACATAGATATCTTGATCGTTATCGGTTCATCCATAATGTCTTGCCTTAACGGACATGGCGTATTAATCTTGCGCATATAAGAGTATGTAGATGACACTAAAATAAAAAAAAAAATAAATTTTATCTACATATTTAACTGATAAAAACGACATCGTCCGCAATGAGCTAACGCATACTCCTTCCTGCATCGAGCGCAATTTGCATTCCGCCTGACTTATTGTACTGTCGATCTAGACTAATTAATATAAACTACAAGCGAACGTAAATAGTTTTATCGAGTCTTGCATATTGTATATACATAATTATATACAATGAGAAAATCATCGTCAGTGACCTTCGTACCGTGATGATTTTTGTAAGGTATGCACTTGATCAAAGCGTAAAGAATTTTTACTTCATTCAAGAGCTACCGTAAATATCTCACTTGATTGGTATTGTACATGTGGCTGTAAGAATTCTTTATGAATAAAGATTGTTGTAGAAATTGGTGGGATGTTTGTAGAGACTGCGTGTGTGATACGGAAGATATAAAATTTATTGAGTACTTATTTATTGAATATTTTATGAAGTACAAATACATAGCAAACATTAGTAAGTGCAATTCGCAAACAAGTGCGAAAAACATATTTATGTTTCATCGCGTATTTAACCTTTAGGCTGCCGGGAAAACCACAAAAGTGGCTTTATAGCCACAAAAGTGACTTTTCAAAGGAAAATGGCAGTCTAAAGATTAATATTTTTCTTTATAGAAATCACGGAAGACACCAAAAACCAGCAGGCCATATATCGCAATACAAGAAGTAAAGGACGATATTATTTGAATTTTATAATAGCTCTCAAGCTAGAACAGAAAGATACATCATTACTTTTCATAGTAGACTAGGTACGCAATTTTTTGCATCTTATATTATCGATACGCTTTTCTTTTATACACGATAAACTTTCTTAAGACTTACCAATCTCCCGAATGTAGCAAATCAAACGCTTCGTTGATTTTCTCGATCGAGAAATAGTGCGTGATAAATTCGTCGAGAAGTAATTCCTTGGACAAATACTCATTTACCAGCTTTGGTACACTTTGCTTTGACTTCCATCCGCCAAATGCACTTCCTTTCCATACTCGACCTGTGACCAATTGAAACGGTTTGGTACTAATCTCTTGTCCAAACGCGGCTACTCCTATTATTACGGATGTACCCCATCCTTTATGACAGGATTCCAAGGCAGCTCTCTAAAAATCATTTTTCACAGAAAGATTGTTTTATTTTTATATATATAAAACAAGTCTGCCATACCATAGTGTTTACATTTCCGACACACTCAAAGGTGTAATCTAACCCACCGTCTGTCATCTCGATCAACACCTGTTGAATTGGTTTGTCATGATCTTTGGGATTGACAAATTCTGTACATCCAAAGATTTTACCTGCAATTGAATATTTTACCTGCACATGAATGTGTTTATAACATTTTCTATTATATTTGTCTTCTGTAATTTCATGAGAAAGCTGATACTTTTCAGTATTCTTATTGTCCTCATTATGTTAATTTACCTTGTTCGAATTTTTTGGGATTAATATCTATGCCAATAATACGAGATGCGCCAGATTTCTTGCAGCCTAATGCTACGGCCAAACCAACAGCTCCTAAACCCCAAATAGCACAGGTGCTTCCAGGCTCTACCTTTGCAGTATTTAAAGCTGCACCATAGCCTGTAGATATTCCACAACCCAAAAGGCACACTTTGTCCAATGGTGCTTCAGGTGTAATCTACAGTGGAACATGTAACAAAGTTGTAAATATTAACTTACTGTTCTGATAATTTATAGTCTTCTATTGATCTCATTAAAATATATAGTATTAATACTTTTGCAAGAGAAATATCTGCCAGCACTGTATATTCAGAAAAGGTAGAGCAGCCCATAAAATGTGCAATTGTTTGTCCTTTACATGTGAAACGAGATGTACCATCAGGCATTATACCTTTACCTTGAGTTTCACGAATTTTGCTACACAGATTAGTTTTTGGTGACTTGCAAAACTTACACTCTCCACATTGAGGAATGTAAAGCGGTATAACATGGTCACCTAAAATTACTTATATGTATAGTGTGATTTTTTAAGTACCTATAATGTGGATAGCATAAAAGGTTGCAACTTGAACATGATATGATTTACAATAATTTATAGAGCAATCTTATAGTATACAATCAATTATTTTGTAATCAATCATACCGCATTGAAATTCGGTAACACCCTCTCCAACACTTTCTACAATGCCACTGCCCTCATGACCAAGTATACAGGGAAACACTCCTTCTGCATCCAATCCATCTAAAGTATAAGCATCTGTATGGCAAAGTGCCACAGCTACTATCTGAATACGAACTTCATGTGCTTTTGGTGGTGCTACTTCGATTTCCTCTATAGATAAAGGCTCCTTTGGCTTCCATGCTACAACAGCCTTGCATTTGATGACCTGGCATAATAATAAATTCAAATGGTTCAATTCTTTTTATAGATAAATTAGATTATATTAGGTACAATAGTATCAGAGATATTTAATTAGAAATTGAGAGAAAAAGAGAGAAATAAGAACAAAAAAAAAGAAAATAGAAGAAAAATGTAATACAGCAAATGTCATAATTAATAATAACGGATGAAAACTTATAATAACAATTAGCAATAAAAGATAAACAAACAAATTAACAATAAAAGATAAAAGTGAGAGTGCAGAAACTCGTTGAAATTGATGTCGATCCTTACCTTTCCAACCGTATCTGACATTATTTTTTCAAATTCACTGTACACTCGTTTAATTTAAAAAGTGTTCTGTTTGGAAATCATTCAATTACAGGAAAAAAAAATGAACGTAGTAGATACTAAAAAACAATCATATATGATCGGAAAATATCCACACATTCGTCTTCTTCTTTCAGAATGTTCCAACCGTTGCGACTGCGCAATAATAAAATATGCTCACTGATTATTTCGATAATAGAGTGCAAAGATTATATAAATATTAGGTTTTTTTAATTCTTTTGATATTACGTTAGCTGACTTTGGGTTATGTTTGTTACTTTCTTTAGAATTATATTTTTTCGGAAATTCCTCTTCTTAAAGAAACAAAATGAACGTACGAATTATATTCGCCCGAAAACAGAACGTACGAATGATATCCCATACAACTCATAACCCTATTTAACCTTTTGATAAGCTAATAATTGAATATTTGTCTGTCCAATTTAAAGAAAAAACAAAGACACATGATTTAACTATCAAGGCTTGTATTTTTAAAATAATCATGTATACGTAAGATTTATTACGCAGTAAGTTTTATAATTGTATTATAAAGTAGTTGCGCAATAAAACTTATGTATATGCAACTATTTCAAAAATATTGGGCCAAGTAGTTTACCAAGAAATTGAAACAATCGGCCCTATGACATAGACATTTTTGGTCTGTTCTTTTCAATGATCATTTCCAATGCTTCCAATTAGCTGTCGCGAAAAAAGCTATTGCGGGCTGCGTCTTGCGTTTGCAAGTTATGTAGACCGGGCTTTAGATATGATTAATGGCTTATGTAGAAGGTCCATGAGAACCTGAACAGACTTTTGCGTAACATAATATATGATGCACAAGAGAATCAATCAATTAGAATCCTTTATTTTCATCCTTAGGATCCATCTGTCATATGCTTATCTATCGTAACTATCATATGCTAGTTAAGATAAAATCAAATTTGATCAATTTGATGCAATTTATGACTTTTGTGGTTACACATTTACATAAGATAAAATTTATTACATATGTATGTACATATATACGAATGGAGAAATTGCCCATATTAAAATCTATAATAATGTATATGTTACTGTAATTCATAAAATGTGATTATTATTTACACAGTACAGTTATATAATTTTAATTCATACATTCATCGCAATCTCTCTCTCTCTCTCTAAGTCATAAGTATTACAAATGCTTACATGAATAATGCATAATGAATAAGAAATGAACAATAATAAATTATTATTCCACTATTTCTAACATATTACAGCATACCTATAAAAATGCAATCAGATAACAATCAATTAATATGACAATAGTGTCTACTTCAGAAACAAGTGCCATTAGATAGTGATAATCACTGCACAAGTGCAATATTGTTCTGTTATTGTACATAGTCTATTGTATTATCGATGAACTTTTCTATGCAGTTTGAGGGCAGGAAGAGTTCTGACTAGGGTAATGAAATGAGCAATCAGGTAGCCCAACAATGCACCTATGACACAAGGAACTGGCCAAACTTGCCATGGACGGTCCCAGTCCAAGGGGATCACAGTGGCACCCAGCCACGTACCCAATATTGTTGCCTGTATGTTGATCCTTAAAGCATCCACGAGGATATTGCCTTTCTGAGAATGTGCTCCCATTAACACGTCCAAGGCGTTGTCCACACCCAGATGTAGACTGGTGGGCACAAATGTCAGAGTCAGTAAAGTGATCACGAGCATAGTGGTTTCCTCATGATCTGTGAGCACAGGTGCGCCAAACAGCACGATCGCAATGTAGTAGACTATGGACAACGCGAATGCGACGAGAGAGAACTTGAAGATCTCCCTCAGATTTTTCGCCCAGGACTTCTTGGCCTTTGGCAACGCCCGTTGCTCGATTTTGACTATGGTGGGTGCCTCCGTTTGCACCATAGGAAACAGCAGTTTTATCACTTCAGCGAACACGAAGATCAACAGCACAGGTAAGAACTTGTACTTGCCGACGTTGTATAAATTGTCGTTGAGTTTCGCTAATATCAAGATGCCGGGGAAATAAATGCAGGTGAAGGAGCAGTAAGATAGCAACAGTCTTTGCTCGGTTTTGCGTCCGACATTCATCTTGGGGCATCGAGTGTTATTTGTGCGATTAGTCGGAGTTTATTATTATTATTATTATTATTATTAGTTTATTAGTCAAAGCTGATTAGTTTAGGACTCTTCTTTTTGTCCTACGAATGCACGTCTTTCTTCAGACGCGATATCACGTTTCAGGGTTATGGCACATAGAAAAAGCGTAAGCAAGCAGAGTCGAGGAGCCGACTCACGTTGTAGCGTTTTGACGCATGTACATTTGAGGTTAACGTATCAGCTGACGTAAACGTGACCACTCAACACGTAAAGTGTCTGAAATTTTTATGTGTTAAAAAACGTCCATAACTTACTATCGGAGCGTTAACATGGGAAAAAACAAGCAGGCGCAACGAACCAAGAATAATGCACGGGTAAGCGCAAGTTATACGTGATTGCATAAATGCGAATGATGTATAAATTATGATTTAATCATATAACCTATATTATATTATGTATTGATATTTTATGAATATTACATTTATTATGAATGTCCTTGTTATTGACATATGTTTTCGGTTTTCAGCGTTATATGAATAAATAATTTATATATAGTCATATTTGCGTTTCATTAGTGTCATCTTCGTTACATTATTTGTTAATAGCATTATCTTACATCACACTGACTCCATGATATGCTTGCAGCATTGTGCTATACTTTGATATTTTTCAGCCATCAAACAGCAGTCGCAGTGCAGAACTCCTGGGGACTGCAATGCCCAATTTTGTTGGCTTCTCAGCAGTCAAGGATGGAGGATATGTTCCTGTTCTACCTGGCCTATCCTTGTGTAACTTGAATGAGGTAGAAATGAATAATGTAGACTCCAGTTTTCAAGTAGTACTGAAGAAGATGAATAAGAAAGATGCTACCACAAAGTATAAGGTAATTAGTTTATCAGTTTATTAGTTGGACGCAATTGGTGTGAATTTTGTAAGTTAAGCTAACAGAAGGAAATCCTGTGTGCACAGGCATTGCAAGAATTCGCGACCCTGTGTGAGAGTGCTGAACTGTCAGCTGTGGAAGGCATGCTACCATTTTGGCCACGATTGTATTGCGCTCTCTCCATCGACATAGATCACAGAGTGAGAGAGGCAACACAGTTGGCACATGCTGCAGTTGTCAAACGTGTGGGTAAAAGCATAGCGATGTATTTGAAGCAACTGGCCGGTGCTTGGTTCACTTCTCAGTACGACACATATCCTCTGGCTGCTTCAGCTGCTACCAATTCTTTTAACAGTACATTTCCACCGTGGAAATTGGTCGACGCGATTGTTCATTGCCAATGGGAAATTTTAATGTATATCAATGACAACATCACCATCAGGACAGCTCAAACATTGTCGACACAAAAGTCTCTTAGCAGTGAAGAAATGGAAACAAAGTATCAGCGAGTATTGGTGTCGAATCTACAGGCGTATAGTTCTTACTTCAGGAAAATCCCGCCTCGTGAGATCGAGAACACCTTGAGTATTCACGAAAAGATTTTGACCAGTTCGAAATTCTGGAAACTCGCGAAACATGACGTCCTGCCGATCAAAACGGCCTTCTTCAACGTGCTGACGTCGATAATAGGAAATGCAGAACATCTGTTGAAGAAGGAGAAGAAAAGAGTCATGACTACAATCATCAACAGCCTCGACGAATCCGAGCCTGGAATTTCGTCGGCCGTGTGGGAGTCAATGCTCGTAGCTATAAACAAGATCGACGACTGGCATACCGTCGTGAGTGTCGACAAGCTAGTTTTGCCGAAGCTGTGGCGCGTCTTACGATCTGGCGGCCAATGCTGTGCCAGTATCGTTTACCCGAATCTACTGCCTTTTGTTAGTCAATTCCCGAAGTTCAACGTCAATACCGACCAGCTGTATGTCAATTTTTTCGATAACATGCGCCAAGGCTTTTCCGTCAAGAGCGTGCAGATAAGTCGCTCGGAGATGCAGGCCGTGGTGACGTCTTTCATCGAGTGTCTGCGTTACTCCATTGTCGTGAACGCCGAGAATGTGGATCTGTGCGTTCGCCTCTTCAAGGAACAGCTTGTCCCCGTCGTAGAATCGTGTATGACGGAAAACACCGCGACGATGAAGCAACTCCTTTTCTCCGAAGTTACACACTTGTTGCGATACTGGAGCAAAAATCGCACCAACGAGATGTACAGGTCGTACGTTCCGCTGATACAGCAGTTTTGGATCGAGCTGCGATTGCTGTTCGACAAGCTCATAGACGTGCCGTGGGAGAGCGCGGTGTCGTACACTGTGGACGCCCAAATCGAGCTCCTGCTGACATTGAAACATGCACCAGACTGTGGCCGGAAGAAGTTGAAAGTGAAATTCTGCAGTCCGGACGACGTCGTGGCGAAACCACCGGAGGTCAGTGTTAACAAAGTCGACGCGGACCCATTGTTCACTGCGGAACTCCACGAGTTCGTGAATGCGCTTTGCGCTATCTACTTCAACAAAATCAACGACCGGCAGTCCACGGTATACATCGGACCGCTCAACAAAGTTATGAAGCATTTCGCGAGCAGGGAATTGTTCGTCGCGCTTTCGACGTCGTTCCAATCTAACAAGGACTTCTTCGAGTTTTATGATGAGAGTTTGAGGCCGTTGCTGCTCACGAATCCGGAAAGCATGGGACAAATTGTCGAGTTAATATTCTACTTTATCACATATATAAGCGATACGGAGAAAGACAAAGTTTTGAAGTCGTTGGTCGAGTTGGACGACATTTCGATCACGAGGAGCGTTATATATTCTAGTCTCTCCAAGTGCAATAGAAATGATCGCGTAATAAAGGATTGGTACACTCAAGCTGACGTCACCAAGCTGCTGGTCGATATGGCCAAGGAAATCGTCTCGCCCGAATACGATGACCCGGAGAAGAATCAGGATCTGATTTTGTTGGCTTTTGAGACTTCAGACACTGGGGACGCATTGATAAACGAAGAAGCAGCGAACGAAATCGTGTCGATTCTTTGCGACTCACTGAGCGGGACGGATGAAGTTTGCTCCATGCAGTTAATCGAATTTATCACAAAGTTGATGACACTGATATGGAGTCACAAACGGACAATATCAAGCGCCGTGCAAATACTGGAGACACTCTTCGAATTGTGCACGCGAGGACATGACGACTGCGACTCGACTTCCGTCGCTGCCGTGTGCGACAGTTGGAAGGAGGGACTTGTCAAAAGCAGTCAAATATTATCACGTTCCGAATTCAACGATCTCATCAAGAGATGCGCGCTCATTATTTGGAGCAAGGTGTACAACGCGCACATCAAAGATACATTGGTAGACTTGGCAACGGATGTCTTGGAAGTTATAATCAACAATGACGACGACACACAATCGAACTGCGAGGAAACTATCTTGCTGTTTCTCACGGCATCTGATATTAAACTGTGGACTGCCGAAGCAACCACTGTTGCGATTTATGGCGAGATAGCGACCGGCAACTTATATATGTCGAGTCTCGAGAGGAAGATACGGATTTTCCAGGAATGCATGTCCGTCGATCTAACGAACGACACGATCTCTGATAACACGGCGACCTGCTTGGAGTGGGCTGTATTTACTGCGGACTTGCTTAATAATCTGCACAAGAAGCTGAGACGTTCCGAGGTCGACGAGGTCGACGCGCCTTCTAACTTGCAAGAAGATGCTGAATCGTATAATTTGGATTTGCCAGGAATTACGGAGATCTTGGTGAACATCGTGAACGTGGCCACCGTAGCGGAAATCTACAGCAAACATTACAAATCCATCAAACACTACAATGACGTGAACAAACTCCTCGACTCGCTTAAGAGCAGTTTCATCAGCTTGCAAGAACGTTTCCAGAAGAACATTCACGACGACGTGCTGTCTCATATACGGACGAATTACGCAGGTTACGGGTACATGCTGCCATATATAATCCGTACGCATTACGCCCAGTTTAAGCCGAACGAGAATCCCGTCGAATATTATGAGAGTTGCGGGAACAGCGAAGAGGAACGCGACGAGGAAGCGCGAGTGCAAGAGATGCAAGTTTTCAACGATTATTGGACGTCTGATAATCTCCCATTATTAACAGGCAATGACATTTACATGCTAATCGCCACGAGAATCGCAATGCGTCTTGAAGGTGACGGTTCAGCCAATACTAGTGTGATGGAAAAATATATAAATAAAGAGGATTCAACATTGCTACTCTTGGATCAAGACATTTCTGATGTCCCATGGGATCAAATGCTCTTGCCACTAGAAGTCATAAGAACACTGACGACGCTGGTCCGAGAAGCTCCGGCGAAGTTGACGCAAGAGCAATGGGACTTCACCTTGATATCCCTCACAATGTGGCAACAATCGGTCGACAAGTCCAAACGCAACTACACTGACATCAAAGTAACGGCGTTAATGGCGGCGGTTAGTCAACTGTATTATGAATTTCAAACTTTGATGAATAAGCACGAGCAAGAACCGATGTCAGAGCTACCTCCTGCGCTCTTGGACGAATGGAAAAACGTATTTGCCAGAGACATACACAGCTGTATTGCGCGGACTTGGATATTTTGCACCGACTTGCATAATGAAGATGCAGCCACTGTAAAGTCTATCGTGCCGTTGGATTATTTGGGACGAGCAGTTAGCATACTCGACAGGAATATACTGTTCAAGAAGTGTGACGAAGATACTCAGACGGTCAACTTTGACGAGATGTTGGAACTGTCTCTGAAATTGCTGCAGTCTCCTGTGCCTAGTATTCAGCTCGGCGCTTATCATATGTTGAAGCACATAGTGGCGGAGCTTGTACAACAGGACAAAGTTCTCGTCGAGTCTGAGAGCTTCGAGCCGAGCGGACTCAACATCAAGAGACTCGAAACAGTGCTGTTAAGCACGCAGAATATCGTGAACACGATGCTCATTGAATTCAAGTGAGCTTGTATATATATTGAATATATATATATATATATATATATATATATATATATATATATATATATAT